AGTAGATCGTGATTTTTTCACCTTTTGAGTAGGGTATTTTCCACGTAAAAATCCTTGTGTTCTTTAATTTCTGCATTTATTATTCTGCAACAGTAGCATAAGGAACATATAGAAGAACCAGGTTCTTCTATAATCTGTGCATGCAAAAAATTGGATACCACACAAATCACTTCCCCTCTTGTGTGGTATTGAAGTTAAAACATCAATTGGTATCAGAGCAGGTTATCCTTGAAGAGGCTAACACCTTAGGAGAAGATCAAGATGAGTGCACCACCTGGTAACTGGGAAGGGCAATCCACTGCTAGGCCACCACTCTTCAACGGCTAGTATTACTCTTGGTGGAAAAATAGAAGACTATGAGCTATGGGACATTGTCACAGATGGTCCATTAGCTACCATGAAGATAAATGCCTAAGGAGAAGAGGTGCCAAAAATGAGGGCTGACTGCACTGCTGACGACTTGAGGAAATGGGAGAAGAATGCCAAATCCAAGAAATGACTTATTTTTGGACTCGGTCCAGATGAGTACAGTAAAATCTAAAGTTGTACCAGTACTAAGGAAATCTGGGACACTTTGCAAGTGGCCCAAAAGGAACACCTCAAGTGAAAAGGTCCAAAGGAACACTACTATATTCTCAATATGAGAATTTCACCATGAAGGAAGGGGAAACCATCCAAGAGATGTATACAAGGTTCACCACACTGACAAATGAACTTAAGTCTCTTGGAAGGATTATTTTTGAAGAATACAGAGTTGAGAAGATTTTGACAAGGGTTCTGCCAGTTACTTGGGAGAGCAAAATCACTGCCATTCAGGAATCAAAGAACATTGTCACTCTTAGGTTGGATGAGCTAATTGGAAATCTCACTGCTTATGAACTTAGAAGGTAAACCATGAAGATGGATGTACCCAAGAAGGAAAGGAGTCTGGCACTCAGAATCACTGAAGGTTATAATCTAGAAGATGATGAAATGGCTATGATCACAAAGGACTTCAAAAAGTACCTAAAGAGAGGAAAGGGTCCTTCAAGAAGTGGAAGCTACAGCAAACCAAAGGCTCCTGAAAGGAAAATCAATGAGTGATACTACAAGTGTGGTAAGACTGATCACCACATCAAGAACTGTCCTCAATGGGAAATTGAATGGAAGAAGGAAAGAGCTGAACGAAGAAACAGGAAGAAGGAACAGGTTCAACCCAAGAAGAACAAAGGATCAACAAAGGCAATGGTTGTTGCTTGGGGAGAAAGCTCAGATGATAAAGATAGAGATGAACAAGCACTTATGGCTATTGGAGAATCTGAGGTAAGTGTAATTTATCTCAAAGGCAAGATTAAATTTTTGTCTAAAGAAAGGCTATCAACTATTTTTATTTAATATCTTCACCATGTCGTCCCTTCTCATCGTCTTCACCATCCACAATTAATCTTAACTTACTTTGAACTCCAAAACTTCCTGCGAATTAACACGTATTCTCAGTGACTTTCAAATTCGAAGCTCTTAGCAGTAATTTCTCAACATTGGCTGAATATCTATCAAAGATAGGGCAATTGAAATAGGGCTCTTAAAGAAGATATTCATGGCATATTTTTTATTCATCCTGCTAGAACTTAAGTCTACCACATCATTAGTTTTTAGTGCAAATAATCTTTATATATCACTTCCAATCATATGTCATGATTTTTATTTTTCTCATTCAAATATTGAAGTGTATTTTAATCAATTGTTTCTTATTTCTTAAAAGTCTAATTTTGTAAAATTGGTAATTATTAGTATTTTCTGTCATAAAAAAGATGATTTTTGCTTTTGCAAACATGACAATGTATTAGGAAAAACTAGAAACAACTATACTATAATACATATAGGCGAAACACAACCAAAATAGGCCCTTATTACAAATCGATTTAGCCTAATGTGTACATAATTATATTTGAAAAGAAAGACATCAGCTTCTTTACTTTGCATCATATTGCGGGTTTCCTTCACATGCTGAAGTTGTCAAACTTTGACAATTATAGTTGTTGAATGTGGATACATGTACTTTTTTTAATACTGAACTACATTGCAGTGTTTCAATTTTAATGTTATGTATGTCCTATCTCTACCTTCTCATGCTGAAAATTCTGACGTTCTTTCTCTTCTTTTTTTTGAATCAGTAAAAGTAAATATAGTTCACGTTCAAATTATAGAGTGTTGTATATTTTGTTATCATCTGTTTGTAGACCTCTGCATGAAATATATAACTCAAAGGTTTCAAAGAAGAGGAGCGAAAGAGGATTGATTAATATCTGATTTCAATGCTCTTCTGCTGCCTCGTGAAGTTGCTTGGGCTTCACCATGGTTGAAGTGAAAAATTCAGAATTCCATTGTTGAGATTTTTAAAAAAGCTTGAAAACATACAAATGCTTTTTGTGATTTGTTAAAATTTTGATAAATTGATAATTAGGATTTTTTGGATGCCATTTTAAAGTTGTGGTTAAAATTAAAGTCATTTGATGAAGGTTTGAGTTATTTGATGATATTTTTTGTGAGTTGAAATTCGTAAGAGTCGAAACTCAGTTTTTGTATACAATATTATACAACATCATAAAAGTGTATAATGTTATATAATATTGTATACCGGATGTATAAACACTGTTGCAAAAAAATAATGAGTTATGCGGCTGTAAACTTAAAAACATGACTATGTAAGTGCAATGTAGTATGTTAGGTTGTACTGTTGTGCAACTTTCTCGAAAAAGAATAGGGGTCGGTTCTTGAAGTGATCTGCCAACAAGATATTTGGGAAGATAAACAATCTTCCTAGCATAGTTGGCTCGTTAATTCGGTACAATGAATCGATTAATTTGATGCCTTAACATGCCAAACATTTGGACGCTTCAGTTCTTGCATATTCCAGATGGTTAGTCTTCTCTATGAGTATGGATCTTGTAGATCTCTATGGTGTATGGTTCAGAATGATCAGGAATGTATGAAGTTTTGTTAATTATGTTCGTTTTCTTTGATTAGTATCTACAATATATTTTGCTGGTAAACTCATTTCCCCTGGAGTATCGTGATCTCTAGCTCTATAATCTGCCTTCTGACTTCTTTATGCTGGACCCATTTGCAGGTAGTGTTGTTCGAAAAAACAGCTCTCAAAATAATCTTTATGGTTATGCTTGGGATTTGTGAAGCTTTCTACAACAATTGTTTGATGAATATTTGAAAAGTATAAAGTAGCTAGCTTCTAGGGAAAAGTTTTTGCGTTAACCAAATGTAAAGGGGTCTTTAACGAAATTTCTAGCACTTACTGTATGAGTTTGATGGTCTTCCTGGTTTTGGCAGGTAGAATATATAGTGTTAAAGTCATTTGCTGCCATTATCTTTCTTAATGAAAATGTTTGCTACTCATTATAAATCATTGTTTAGATAAAACAGAAACGAAGGAGAAGGGTTGCGAGCTTTATTATTCCGGTTATCAACACCCTACGTGTTTTCATCAATATATATATATATATATGCATATAGATAATGATGTAAGAATCCGTAAATATTGAGGTAACCAATTGAAGAGCACAATGAAGGAAGTCTTATCTAAGAAAATGGGAATTGCGGAGAGATTGATGAATCCGATCATGGACCTGAAATTCACATCCACGAGTGTATTATCTAATTTGTGTATTTGGAGGGCGTATCAAATGATATTTTGGCCTCTTCAGTTTTTCTGTTTAGTTATTTTCAAAAACTTTGTTCCTTGCATTTTTATTAAGGTTTAGATCTTTAGTTTTTATGAGTTTTATTATAATTGTGAATAGTGAAAAATATCGAGGGTGAGCTGCAAGGAATACTAACTGGACACAGCAGCAGTAGTGGCTATTGAACTATTCAGGCTCGACTAATCAGAATGATTTATGTAGAATAATATGTACATGCAAATGGACAAAGAGAAATAGGAGTCTTTGAGAAGATAGAAAGAGAGATAGAAAAGGGGGTGTCAGATAGCTGCTATACTATAGGATCGGTTGTCTTAAAACTAATTCTTGTCACTTAAAATATAATTATAGTTTTACTTACATTACATTATCATGTTATATTTACCTGTTGTAGCAGATAACCTGACTTATTTTCAAGATTACTGAACTGGATGGTTCTTTGGTTATGGACATAATATTGTCTTTGGAGGATTCGATTCCCCTAACTCTAGATTCAGTGACTAAATGTGGATCATGATACACCAGACCACACTGGTTGTTAAATTGGAGATTACACGCATATTTAATTTGCAGTGAAAAAATTAAAGCTTTGCCTAGTCTAGTGCTTTGTTTGAGTTTTTAACTTTTTCTTTGTAATGCACAATTGAAATGGATATCAGATAAATATTGAACGAAAAGGAAAATTATTCTATTCTAATCACACATTCACACACTCCCTCATCCGATTGTCTTGCTATATACATCCATGTTTGATTATGCTATTTTCTATCAGGAATTTGTAGAAAAACTATGGATCATTTTAGGATCTTGTGAGTTTTGATTACGAGCGGATGACAATGACAACATATTTTGTTGGTGCAATTTGCTTTGACGAAAGCTATCCAAACATTTGAATCAAATTACTTGAACAACTTGTTTAATTTTGCAAAACTAAATGATGTCTCAATCTCCTATGCTCTAGTTCAGTTTGATGTTCCAGACACCTTACTTACCTTAGGGTTTGAAATTTCATTTCCAGTGAGTCTTATTTACTGAAAACATAAACATATTTGAAACGCTAAGCTTAGGCAAGTTTTCATTACAATCGATTAACTATACCTCAACTGAAAAATAGGTGAGAATCCCATGGGAATTCCCTCTATATCCATTCTAATTCTATTCAAGACTAGTTCAAACAACTATATATAGAACCATTTTATTCTTCTCTTAGCAACATCACAACACATACAAAAGATGTAAGTTAGCCAAGCTTTTTTGAACCGTAAAATGTCAATGTAGATCGAAGCTTAACGTGTTTAACAATCAAGCTTGACAGTGGAATCAACATCTGTTCTTTTCTTCATTTTTTTCCCCTTTAATAAACAACCTGAATTCAAACTTACATTAGCAGAGTCGGGCTTCAGTTATGAACATATGCGTTCATTTACACCTACAATCATTAGTCTTACTAGCACACTATGCATTACACAATCAATTCAGGAAAATTCACTCACCATCTGTTTCTAAGCAATTCCCTGAATCACTATCATTTGTAGCGACTTAACTTCAACAATCTCAAGAACAGGGGCAAATACAGCTACAAGATTAGAAGCTACCGTAAGATCCTTACAGAGAAAGGGATGATCCAACGACCTTCATTGAACCACCTTTGCTGGTGTTGCTCCGGAAACTATAGCTACTTAGCACATAGGCATGGGGACATGGCAAATACAGCTTACAACAATAGAAGCTACCATAAAATCGTTGAAGAGAAAAAGAACATCCGAACCTCGACAACACTTCTGCTGGCTGCCTTTTCTCCATGCACTTAACTTAGTTGCCATAGCTGTTATGTAAGTGGAATAGTTGGACCATATAAAGCCACAACTCATTAGAGAATCAATGAAGTAACGGTCCATGTGACGTGATATCAGGAAGATGAGAACTAATGGAGAACTTCAACCATCTTTTCTTCTCAATAAACTTAAGACATGGTTGCAACACCAACCCAATCGCAACAGCGACCAGGCTTACAACCATAACTTTAATCGAAGAGAAGGCCAACACAACACCAATGAGAATGGCCGGAGGTATGCACAACAAGACGGCTCCAATGGTTCCACCTGGTATCTTGAAAGGGCGTGGTGCATTGGGGTACTTAATCCTTAACCATACAAATGCTATAAATTCCAAGATCATTCCAAAGCAATACAAGAAATTTTCTGCAGCAACTATCTCCTGAAAGCTCAGCCACGAAAGTAATATCACACCAGAAGCTGAGAATAGGATCCCAATCAAAGGAGTTCCATGAGGAGATCTCTTTGCGAAGAACTCAGGGAGCATTCCCCTCTCTGCCATACCGAGTAACTGAAAAGAGTCGCTGCTCATCTCAGCCACAAACATTCCCATATTTGATACTGCAGCAGCCCCTTGAACCCAACATCTAAGCCAAACTCCACCAAGTATTTTCGCAATGTCTGAGAAATATCCATCTGTCCACGAGTCACGCTCGAGGGGAACGGCTCCTGTACCAATCAGCAAAGGGAAAAAGTATGATAGTACAACCAAAATAACAGCATAAAACAGAGCCTTAGGCAGAGTTTTTTTCGGGTTATGTACTTCTCCGGCAAGAGTACTTATTGAATCCCAATAATTCAGATTCCAGAAGAGAGTATTCAGATACAAGTTCCAATCAATATTGTGTACATCTGCCACTAACCATCTAGCAGGCTTTAATTTGGGAATTGAAATGAGTCCCATAACGACAAAAGGAAGGATCGACAAAATACCCAACGAAACAGCAACCCATCCCACAATGGTTAAACCTCTGTAGTTCATGTAAGTGAGAACCAGAGTAAGAGCCAAAACAGCTAGAATCCTAGGAAGCCCACCACCTAATGCAGGGATAGCTGATTTTAGGTAATCTAAGAACATAACGGGGTAAAGTGCATTGTCAATGACTCCACTCAGCCATTTCATCCAACCTTGCTGAAAGCCCCAATATGGACCCAAAGCAGATGAAACCCAGACAACATAACCACCATTTTCCGGGAACATAGTGCCCATTTCAGCAGTAATGAGTGCCTCAGGGACACTCCATATTAAAGGGAAAATCAAGAATCCAAGAAGAGCAAAAAGAGGACCAGCTGCATGAACAGTGTCCTCAACACCAAAAGGACCACCAGAAACCTCATAGAAAATGAGGAAAATTAGAGGCAAGAGTGAAACTTTCTTAGCATTATTTGCTCTAGGAGATGGAACCTCATTAATCCCTATGTATTCTGCACCATTAAGTTCTCCCATTGGAATTGCTGCTTCTCTATGAGCTGAAACCCTCAATTTCTGCATTTTCCAACAAGTTTCAAGTTAAAGAAAACAATCACATTACAAGAATCATTACACACTTACAGAAAATAGGAACCGAACAGCAAAAAGAAGAATTTTTTTTTTACAATAGATAACAAGGGTATGTACAAGAAAGCAGTTAGTAATTTTTAAAAAACCATAGTAAATCAATCAAATACATAATGGGTCATCATATTTTTTTTCTATACATACATCAGCATAGGAGAAAAGAAATTCATTCTTGGGGAAAAAAAATTGCCTATCAAGCAATTGTACATGCACCAGATCTCAGTCAACATAGAAGATGTAAAGAGAATAAGACCATGAATAAAGGTAAATCGATTGGGAAGTTCCACCATTATAGCCCTCAAAAGTGAATGCAAAACCAAAGATTTTTCAAGCAGAGAAGTTGATAGATCAAAGGTATGGCTCCTGAGCAGTTGAAAGGCGGGTTGGTTTGCAAGTGAAGTGTCAGTTGCGTGGCACATCTGAAGATGACAATTCAATAGGATTCTAAGCGGCAAACCTTTTTATTTTTCTCCAATCAAAGATCTAACTTTTAAAAGAAAATCGAATAATTGATTCACAAAAAGGTTAAACTAATAGTCTAATAAGAATTTAGTTGCTAATATTGTGGATTTTCTACAAGATTGCATCTGAAATATGCTGATTCATGTCAATCATCTAAAAATAGCATATCAAAACTAATTGCTCTCTCTTTTTGTATAAGTTAGTATTTATTACTAATATATTAAATGTGCCTAAGAGTAATATTTACATACATTAAGAAAGGTTATGACTTTTGAGGGTCTTACTTCTTACCAAAGTGTTTCTTAGAGAGAGCAGACATGGCATGTGCGCCTGCTGCCCACTAAGGATTGGATGGGCCTATTTTGGTAAGGCTATGCCCAGTCCAGAAGTTTGGGCCAGGATAGGCCCATAAAGATTTGCCCCCACTTACGGAACTACTCCTAAAAGAACTCTTAGAATTAGGTGGCATTGTTGCCATCAAAGGTTTGAACCTTGATCGTTGATTTTAAATTAAACACCACCTGAATAATGCTGACAAAATTCCTTGTCAAAATATTTCACTTTTGTTACAAATTACTTAATCTTGTGCTATATAATTGCCTATTTGTAAGTTCAACCATTATTATCATATAAGCACTTTTGTAGTTTCACTCTAGATCTTCATTTAATTTTATTTTTTGTAATTTTGAAAAAATATATTATAAATTAAAAGGAAAGATTCCATGCTTGTTTTTCGCACTGAAATTGAATTGAAAATTGATACATAAATATGCTTATAGAAAGTAGACGCGCAAAGTCTCTATTGATCATCATGATCCTAATAAAGCAAGTCAAGTCAACCATGCGGTAATAATATGTTATAATCTTTTATTTGTGTATTTCCTTTTCACTCAAAGATAGTCTTTAAAATTTCTGATACATTGCACTCATTGCAGGCGTGCAGTCTTTTTTCTTCATTAGCCAACATACAAACCCCACCTTAGTCCCCCCCCCCCCCTTGGCCCCCCCCCCCCCCAATTTAAAGAAATTAAAGATTAAATAATACAAATAAAGAAACCGTTTACAGGAATGTAAGAAAATCATTGCACATATCTGACTGTTTTATTATAATTGCATGCCTCACTGTAACTTAAACACAACCAAATTAAGATAAAACTTTGAGTTTTTGATAAAGCAACAAAGAAATGCATTTTATAATCTTTCAACATGACATAAAACTTCTGCTGAGAGAATAATAAAAAAGAAAAGAAAATTAGGAGAATATTGCTGGACAAAGTTCACTGTTTTATTAGATTATCTTGTCTAAAATCTTCTTATTAAAGAAACGAAAAATATATAAGATTTACGAAGGAATTCGCTAGGATCATGTAATAGGTAAGTGCAAATTATGATAAAACAAGTTTAATTGAATAACAAAAAATGATCATGAACTCTTTTGGGTGAAGGACTAGGAAAGAAAATTAAGAAAAAGAAACTAATGAACGGAAAAACATTTTTGAGTTCAAATTTTTCTAGAATTTTTCCTTCAGAAGACTAATACGTAAAGTAATTCTTTTTTCCCATTAGGTTTATTCACCTACTTTAAAGTGTCGTACTACGTTAGGTAACGTCGAGAGAGAAGTCCATAGTTTTCCGACTTTCTCAAAAAACGCTATCTTCATTTTTCCCTAGAAGATTACTTAATAAATCAGGATAGCTATTAAATGCTAGAGTTTCAGGTAAATCATTGTTTACACTCTTTCAGCCGCCATGCTTATAAAACTCAAACAAAAGAACATTTAAATAAAAAAACATAATTTAAAGATAAAAAGGTACTCCAATATTAATTCAAAATTACCTGATTATCACCATTCTGCAATAGTGATTTATCGGTGGCTGTAGATGTTAGAGTTTCAGTTTGAACTATTGCAACATTCGCAGCTAATTTCTTATCTGCTACTGAAACTGCAACTTGTGGCGGCTTAGCATTAGAAACCTCATGAAAGGAGGATTTGGTTTCAGAGTTTTGATCAGTTTCTGATGAAGTTGTTGGCACCATTTATGCAGAAAAAAATGCTGATCGGGGAGATAAATCAAGAAAACTAAAGGCTCATTAATGGAGGAAAAGCAATGATTTATAGTAAAGGAAATATGGGTTTATGATACTTTTTTGGTAGTTTTTTTCATCAAGAAAAGACTCTTTGATGGCAGGGTGTTTTAGGGGAAGTTTGTGGCGAAGTATATTAAGTGAGAGATAAGCAAGAAAATATATAAGTGTAGGAGGTCAAAGGGACACCGAGGTCATATAGGGCAAACTGATGTAGGGTACTCAAAATCCAATAATTTATGTGATATTTTTTCTCTATTTTAGAATAGAATAATATTTGTATGAACTGAAATTGAGCCAATCCAATCATGCAAGTTGAATGCTTGTCTTTTTGTGCCCCAGTTGTGGGTCAAGGGTGGGGATGATTGGAGTGTATATAATTATACTCCATTCAATGATGTGGATATTTTGAGATAATTTGCTATATATATAATATATCAATAGAAGAGAAGATTACTATATTTAGAATTTATAATAGTAAAAGTATACAATGACTCCAGTACTCTTAAAACATTAAAGATTAAATTTATCAAATTTAAATTTTGAATACGCATCTACATAAATCACAAAGAAGTGCGAGTTATAAACTATAACTCTTATTTTTTGTGCTTTTTCTCGAACTCAATGTTTTTAGTTTTGTCCACAATAATAGATTTTAATTAAACGAGTTCAATCAATTTCCTATCAAGATAATATAGGTGAATTACAGAAATAGTCCAATAAGGGGTTGCTCTTTAAATATTATCTTCGTTTTTGGAAGTATTTAGAAAATTGACCCTCGGCTCTGCACACACTTATTGCTTGCCAGAAATTTAGTTTATGTTATATTTACTCTACCTCTATTGTTACTTGTTCACGAGCTCTTCCCAGTTGGCATTACTTTATGCTCGTTCAATTATTCACTAAATTCTATTATATTGGCATGACTTTGTGTTAATTAGCTGCATTTGACTTACTATTAAATTAATTGTTCACAAAATTTACTCAATTGACATGATTTTGTTTCTTCAATGTTCACGAAATTCTACAAGGTTAGCATGGCTTTGTGTTATATATCTGCAATTAACTTAGCTGTTAAATTGTCATCAAAGTATACCCGATTGACATAATTTTTCTATGGTATTCAACAAAATATTCTTCAAAATTACAGTTCCAATTTCGATCAAAGTACCCAAAATCTGCTCAAAATGATCTCAAATTTAAAACAAAACTTCCAAACACCTACGGAAACGATCTCTAATCATCAATTTAGTCAAATAATACTAAATTGACAAGATCCATTTTGTCTTCTTTAACACTTTCTAAGGGTCAACAATAGAGTTTTAAAATTTTTAAAGTAAATCACTAAATTAGTATTTGAACTAAACATTTAAGAAAAATTATCAAGATTCAAATAAGTTTAATAATAATCGATCATTAACTTTCTGTTTCTATCCCCACATAAGAATTTAAAGCTTCAAATATTGAAGAATTATAGTGTTCTCAATGAACAAGAAATCTATTTTTGTAACAAATTAAAAAACAAAGACAATATTTAAAGATCATTTCCTTAGGGGACAACCGATGCAATTTTGTGGATAATATAGGAATTCTGACAATAGCGGAGAACGAAACCCCTTGAGTTCTACCTTTTTTTACGGATTTAGTCCTGCCAGAATTTGATATCATATCAGTGTACTGTGTAGGAAAAAGAAATTAGACTGTGCTTCTATATGTTCTTATTTTTACTCCCGGAGCAAACGAATGTAGCATGGCATCTTACTATTTAATGCCCAAAGGAAATTCAAGCAAATTAATGAGCACTTCAAACCCTCACCAACTAAAGCTTTTTCCTTTTTCTCTCTTTTGAATTACCCGTGACACTCTCCAAATTATTCTCTGTTACTTTATTAAAATTATCATTATGATATTTAAATAACGAGATCTCTATAAGTAAGTTGAATCGTTTTTTTGCTAAACAAAGCTCACCCTAGACACCCTTAACCCTATCCTATTTACCCACTAGAGAAACATAATCCAACTTTTATACCTAAACATGTCATATGATCACCTTTCCTGACCTCATCAAAGATCTCTCAAATTTCACCACTTTGGCTTTATTTGCTTTCATTCATTATCAAGAATAACAGTGAGATATCCTTAGTCAAAATTTCAAATTTAAGCACGTATATATAATTTTATGGTATGGAGCACTTTTCCTACGGGGCACCAATGGCGGATCCACATGGATACACTACTAAAAATTCGGCAAAAAACGATCAAGGTCGACTTCAAAGTTGGTCGGTTTTTCAAAAAAAAAAAAAAATTTTACAAAACCGACCAACTTTGGTCGGTTTTCTTTGGCGCAAAAATGCGGGAAACTATTTTTGAGTCCCGCAAAATTTATGTTTCAAGAAACCGACCAACTTTGGTCGGTTTTTTAATTAAAATAAATAAAAATTAATATTAAAAAAACCGACCAAAATTGGTCGGTTAATTCGGCGGGTCATTTAAAAAAACCGACCAACTTTGGTCGGTAATTTTACTTTTTAATAAAACCGACCAACTTTGGTCGGTTATTTTCGTGCGAAAATACAATTAAAGAGTATAAATCAAATAAAAGACAATCTTAAAACAAAATGTACCAATGGTCTAGTGGTAGAATAGTATCCTGCCACAGTACAGACCCCGGTTCGATTCCCAGATGGTGAATCTTTTTATTACATAATTAAAATACCGACCAACTTTGGTCGGAAAAAACCGACCAACTTTGGTCGGTTTGTTTTGCAATATTAATTTTTTTTTTAATTTAATTGACCGACCAACTTTGGTCGGTATTCCTTTTCGACCACAAAAATACCATCCACACGTAAATGGTAGCGTTTTGATCGGTTTTTGACCATTACCGACCAACGTTGGTCGGTTTTTACCGAATTTCTAGTAGTGATACCTGTGAGTGCTTAAGGAGCCATTAACTTTGACCGTATTTGGTAAATTTATATAGACAATTATATAAATATTTAGATAAATATTGAATAAGCACTCACAACTAAACTCATTTTTCCTCTTCTTTTGAATTTTTTTTCAATGAGTACTTATGACTTTAAAATCTTAAATCCGCCACTGCTGGGCACTATCAGGTACAAATTCAAGTTAATCGAATAAGTAGAATCGAATGCTGAATCATTGAAAAAATAACAATAAGAAAGCATGTGATCCATGTGGTGAATATACTGATCAGGGAGAAAAACGACATCATTTGTCATATACATAAAGTTTTAAAACATTGATATAACAATTTTCATATAACAATCTGTATACGGGTAAAAACCGAACTCATGATACATTTTGCCTCCAACAACATAAAACGAGCTCGAGATATAATTGCGAAGGATCGGAATCGAAGCAAGGGTCTCATCAAGTCAGAGTTCGGGGGCCGATTTTCTGCCCTCGAGAATATCGGGGTCATGACTGAGAGACTTCGGAGAACATTGTCGGGCAATCAAACACGACCAACAGAAAGTCGTAATATCCGCGACCGTTCGGATATCATGGCGTGGATTTCGACATGTATCGATGTAAAATCAGCAATCAGTTAAACAAAAGAT